GACCCGAACGACCTAGTACAATTAGGGTTTTGAAACCCTAAATGTCATCAGCTCAGCCATCGTCGACTCTTCAGCTCCCTTGGCGCGTGAGCTTCACCGCTCCTCTTCCGATGCGCGTGAACCGCCGTCGAACTTCTCACCGACCAATATTGTCATCCACAGTAACAACAATCGCACCAAAGTAAGAAAAAAAAATAGAGATAAATCGAAATAAATCAAGGCAAATCCAACAAAATCCTGAGAAAAATTGGGCTGTCAATCGACCGAAAATAGGACACTCAAATCTTATTTCTTGGGAAGACAACAAGCCATCAAAGATAAAAAGAAGACAACATCACACAGAGAAAGGAGAATTCGGGTTTAAAAGATAAAAAAATCAGAGAGAGTTTTGAAAGAGCCGAATAAAAAAAAACCAAAGTGGAAAAAGAAAGGAGGGGAGAAATCTTACCCTGGATCCAAAGCTGATCATCGGATACAAGGAGAGCCTCGCCGAAGGTAAAAGGCCCATCTTGTTTCTTAAGATCTAGATTTTAGGAAGAGTTTGGATCTCGATTCCTTTGGGGTAGGGTAAACGTTGTGCTTAGGTTTTCTAAGGGTTGTTTCGGCTAAAGGGAAGGAGAGAGAAGACCAAGGGTTAGCTCCGTTTCGGTTTCCCACCCCATCGTCGTCGCCTCATGACGATCACGGCCTTGTTTGAGTTTCCTCACGACGGAGGAATAGAGAGGGGGGAGGAGAGTTGAGAGAGTTTTTTTTCTCTCTCTATCTCCATTTTGGATTTGAACCGAGCAAATGAAGTGAAAATAGGAAAAAGGCCTTTGTTTGAGACTTATATTACTTAATCGAAACGTCGTCGTTCTAGGGGATCTTCAGCATGTTTTCAGAATGTGGGTTAATTACACTTTAGGTCCCTCATACTTTGTAATATCATACTGAAGCCATGTAATGAATTTTCAATTTATTTAATTTCGAGCATTAATGTTTCCTTATTTGTATTTTAGTCTTGTTCTTACTTGTTATGCTATTATTGTCAATGTTTGACTTTGGATATGTTATTTGTAATAGTTGCATTTTAGTCACTGATTCCATGTATTGTATATTTTTTGTTGTTATTCGAATTTGGCCACCACATTTGTAAATATTTTATTTTAATCATTGTTGGCATCTGGTTTAATTATAGTTTGGCCCTTTTATGTTTCTGTTTATTTCTTTTTAGTCCTTAATATTGTTAATGGGTTTACATTTCCAGTACCTACATTATTTAATTTTTTAATCTTGACTCTGGTTTGTTGTAATTAATGGTTAAGTCCTTTAAGTTTATATTTTTTCTATTTTAGTCCTTTACGTTTCTATTTTTGTTATTTTAGTCCTTTAAGTTTTGGTTTTTTCTATTTTAGTCTTTTAAGTTTCTGTTTTTACTATTTTAGTCCTTTAAGTTTCTATTTTTGATATTTTGGTCCTTTTAAATTGAATATAATTATTTATTGTTTTTATTATTTGTAATTTGATATGTGATATTTCCTTGTTATGATTGATTCTTTTTTACTTATGTATATATTTTATATGTTTTGTAATTATAAAGGAATGAATATGTTTGGCATTATTTTAATGTAAATATTTTATTTCAAATATTTCTAAGAACGTATTTGTAGAACAGACGTGGAGAGTATCACTTGATCGAAGTGGTATGATCCGATATGACATTCGAATGAAATAAGACTTGAAATAAATTTAATTTATTTTACTAATTAAATCTCTTATGATTCAATGTGTTTTTTATATAGCAATTTAATTTATGCAAAGGTCGATAGTTAATTTATATTCAATTCTTATTATTTTAAATCAATCAGGACGAAATATTCTTTAACAAATGAGAAATAGTTGAAATAGCTTTTCTGACGGAGGATTGAAAATTTTAATATTTCTTATCGTGTAAAAGGATTATCTGTAAGTAATTAACTCGAAGTAAATTAATTCCATTTCAATAAACGGATCATAGTTTAACTATATATACAATTTATAATTTCCATCAATTATGACAATGTGTAAGCAACACAATACTAATTTTGGGCGTTGTGGGGTGCTAATTCTTCCCCATGCGTAACTGACTCCCGAATCCTTTTAAATCGAATCTCTGGTAAACGCAAACAAGTTTTTTTATCTAAAAAACAATTTTTTCTCAAAATGTTTTTAAAAGACGTTTTTAGGTATTCGACCTACCTAACTCAAAGGTCGATGGTGACTCATTTTCCATTTTATTCAAATCAATTCAAAATGATCAATTTTTCAAATCAAAGTAATAATCATTTTTTAAAATAATATTTAATTGTTTTAAAAAAATGGTTATGATAGTGGTCACAGTAGAAGGTTTATATGTATTTAAGATTTGAGATCTTAGAGAAAGATTTTGCTTGCGCTCAAGAACAAGACTGCTTTGAATCAATCAAAACTGTTAAACATGAAATTGGAGAACATGATCATATGCCATTTGTTTCGCATGAACTTGACTTAAATATTGTCTTGACTACAACAAAATAGAGTTTTAGCGACGTATTTTAGTTCTATAGCAGCGTTTTTAAGCGCCGCTAGAAAGCACTTGCGGCGATAGTAAAAATGCCACAAGAAACGCCGCCCATACCAGTGCCACTAATATTGGCGGCGTTTGTGATATAAAAACGCCGCAAAAAGTCAAGATCTATAGTGGCGTTTTTGGAACAAACGCCGCAAAAGGTTGAGATCTATAGCGGCATTTTTGGATACAAACGCCGCAAAATGTCAAGTTCTCTAGCGGTGTTTTTGGCAAAAACACCGCAAAAGGGTAGATATATAACGACGTTGTTGGATACAAATGCCGCAAAAGGTCAAGATCTATAGCGGGTTTTTGGAAAAAACGCCGCAAAAGGTAAGATATATAGCGGCGTTTTTGGATACAAACGCCGCAAAAGGTCAGATCTATAGCGGCGTTTTTGGATATAAACGCCACTAATTACCATTCTTTAGCTAAAATTAATTGATATTTTGCATATTACATTCTTCCTATACATCACCTAAATTTAATATCATGTAACTTTATATAAATAACAACCACCATAAATTTTAACAACAAAATAAATTAAAATTTATAAACATTAAAATATATTCATTACTTCGAAAATATTAAGTTCAAGTCCACATATGGAAAAAAAATTAACATGCATATAATATAAGCTACAGATGCCATTTGGCTGGATTCCTCACTTAAAAGCCATTCCAAATTTTCTTGGAGATTCAACTTCTGCAACTCCTCCCATTTTTCTCTGTCTACAACCATTTTCAAGGTTATTGGACATTTCTTAATGGAAAGCATAAGCAAAGGATGATCTCTTACAACATCCCTCTATCTACTGGCCAAGTCTTCCAACATTTTTGAAATTTCAGCGAATTCGGGTCTACAAGGTGGATTCTGTTGCCAACATCTCTCCAGCATCTCCACAAAATTTGGGTGAGTATGCGTAGGAATAAAAGGCATTAAACCCTGAAATTAACAAAAGGAAATATCTCTTTTTCTTCAAGTCTATTATGCTGGTATGAACTAGAAATCTTGTAAAGCCAATATGCAAACTGAACTTTCCAAATACTTTATGCATGTGAATCAAGCGATATATATATAGAAGGATAGTGGATATACATGGATATGCATGCTAGGCCTGTAAATGAACTGAACGTTCAGCGAACCGTTCATGAACCGTGCGACGGGAAGTTCGTTTATGTGCGTTTATTTATTAAATGAACGAACATGAACAAGATTTTTTGTTCGTTTAATTAAATGAACGAACATGAACATAGGTCTCGTTCGTTCATTTACGTTCATGAATGTTCGGTTATGTTCGTTTATGTTCGTTCGGTTATGTTCGTTTATGTTCATTCATTTATGTTTAACCCAATCTTCTTAATTCAATTTTGGTGACCAATTTGTAAGTATCTTAAAAATATTAATTAATCTGATATTTTGATAACCAACTCCATAATTAACCCAATTTTATTTGGAGATTAAATCCAATATGTTAACCGGTGAAGCACCTCGCACATATATTCAGTCCTTTTTTTCCCAAACCCTAGTGTTCACTGGAGAGTGGAGACGATCGCTGAAAGCTTCAAAACAAGTTATATTATAGTGCAATATGAAGTTTTACTGGTCTGTTTTCATCTCTTTCTCTGTTTTATTTGGCTTAATAGTTGATATGTAAAGTTATTGCGGGTATCTTTACATCTAAAACTCAAGAAAACATCATACTTCTTTCTAGAAATAGATGGGAACATAAAGGTAACAATCGGAAGTATATGAGCATCAGTAAAGAGAAAAATATATAGAATTTGCCAGAAAACAAAACAAAGGTTTCTATACAATTTCTGAAAAAGAGTGTAATAGCGGAAAATGATTGTTCATATGTAATTATGGACCACTAAGATAAATGTTATAGCGTTAAATTAAATTCGTGTGAATCATTTAATATCTTTAAAAGATCGATAAAAATATTTGATATATTTAAACATTTCATCACTGCTAATCAGCTCTTACGCTATTTATCACTGTAGATTTGGTTGATTTGCATTGTCGACTATTTTTCATGAAAGAACAATAGAAGGTAGGGTCTCAAACGTTTATGTTCGTTTATGTTCGTGTTCATTTATGTTCATTTATTTATTAAATGAACAAACATGAACAAGTTATATTCCTTAATAAACGAACATGAACAAAAAAAATTTGTTTTTTTATGTTCGTGTTCGTTTATGTTCGTGTTCGTTTATGTTCGTTTATTTATTAAATGAACGAACATGAACATACATCCGTTCGTGTGCGTTCGGTTCGTTTCAGGCCTAATGCATGATACTAAAACAAACGAGTTCTGTTAAGCTCTACTTTTTAAAAGAATACCTTCTGGACTACGCCCACAGTTGCTTGTAAGGGTGTTAAATTCTCGTATAGAAGCTGGCATCAGTTACAAAAATTAGATTGATTTTTCCTAACCTAAACCATAAACTACTAGAAGAAAAGAAAACCAGAATGAATCAAAAGAAAGGAGCCAGAGAACTTCAACGACAAGTTTTTCAAAATCTAAATACGACATCTGCGCAAGAATGTCTTCTTCATCATCGAAGCTCAAATTTAATGTCTGTAACTTGAATTCTTCACCCTGTATGAGCTCCACCAAATTGGATGCCACTCCGGTAGCTTGGACTGTCGTCTGTTTAGTTAACTGAGAAAGAATGGAATAAAGATGGGAAAACTCTATGAATGAATAGAATGTAGAAAACTCGATGAATAAACCATGGATCAAATTTAGGAGTCCTAGAGCAAAGGGTCTTGTAATAAAGACAGGAAAAACAGACTGATTGTTTTGTTTAATTTTTGTTCATTCAACTATGAATTTGAGTTTTATGACCCGATAGATCAAAGTTGCTCATGGGAAGTGATCTGAAAGCTTAAATACAAGACATATCAATCAACAACAAAAAGAACACTCACCTCAACAGTACCAATACCCTCAAGGACTTGAACCTTCAAGTTGGAAACGCCTTCAGCTCCCTGCAACAAACAAATAAATCATCCCATCAAATTCAATTATAGTATATACTCTAAACAAAATCAAAGAACCTGCCATTAATAATATCGACAGAAACATAGTAGTACAATTAAACAACAATATGATTATAGATTTTTCTCTTTTTCTTTTCGGTGAGAGATAATACAAGGCAACCATGTGAAATCTTTTCCTCTGTAAGAAGCCATTTTCTAAGGGATCAAGTGAAACACTGGACTATGATCGGGACACCGGATGAAGTAAGAAGTTAGATTCCTCCCCTTCATTCAATTTGAAGATAAATCTACCAAGTTGCCTGTCAATATGATCATTTTTGTCTGCAAAACATAAATGTTGCTATAATTTGCTTGAAAGTCAAAAGGTTGATTATATACCTCTAATGCCTTACTCACCTTTGGAATTTCAGCTTCATTCAACATTCCATCTGCCTTCAAACAATCAAGATTGATTGTCAGTGACCTATGAATGAATAGTTCCAAGGGAAAAAATTTGCAGACAAATATACAATTTCAAGCAAAAACTAGTCAATGGAACCGATTTCTGCCTAATTTCTTGAATTCAAATTCTATGCAATAAGTAATTGAAAGATGCACCCCTAGTGGAGATTCTTTAAGAACTACTATGAAACATGATACATTTTTCCAAAATTCAGTAACAAATAGATAAACATCTAAGCAAAACTCAAAAAAGAAGTTCAAAATCCAACATTATCTAAAGCAACCCTTTGACAAAGATAATGACAATTCCCCCTTAGTTAATGAAAAACAAATTGAACTTTTTTCATAATTTAAGTAGCAAAGTGAAAAAAAACCCATACCTGAAAGTACATTCTAAGAGTGTCAGAGGGAAAGACAGGAACAGAAATAGAGTCTTGTTGCTCAGCAACAGTTGTTCTCCTTCTTCACCAGACTTGAGTTTCCAAGTCCCATGAAGAGTTTTGGTCGTTTTGGAGGACAAGGATAAGTTGTTGGACGATTAGATAAGAATAAACTTTAATATAAAAAAGATCAAATATATAATTTCATGTTAGGGATCAAAATATAATATTTTAGGGGACAAACTTATAATAATTCAGAAGAGATGAAAATAAGTTATTAATAAAAATTATATAATAAAATATATGAGAATTTAAAATTTTCATGAGAGACCGTTCCTATCCTTCTTAGCAGGTCAATAATGCATTATTTCTCAAAAAATGAAAAAAATATACTCCATTTATAATATAATGATCCAAATATTAAATATTATTTAAATGATCAAACACTTAATTTTACTATTCAATTAATTGTTGATACAATATTTTACTAATAAATGAATAATAAAATGAATCCTTTAGTCATATTTAGTCTTAAAAAATTTATTAGAACTGGACGAAATGATAATTCTTTTATTTTTTATTTTTGAAAAATAATGAAAAAATTAAAGTTTTCCCCCCTAACTAATCACATTAATTACGCTAATTCATATAACCGCTTCTGTTCTATTAGAGGACGACTTTTTGAATAAATCCAGCTTGGCCCTTTAAAATTTTAATCCTTTATTACATAAGTTTACTCATTCACCTTCCATTGACCAAGAGCAAATAATATGTCAGAGAGCTGCATGAAACTGCTTAGGCAAATAATTTTAATCATTAATATAATCATGGTATGGAATGTCATCAAAAGTGTCATCCCTCATAAATTCATAGGTGCTTGCTCAATGAAATAGTTATAGTTTAAAACAAAATTGAATAGGTTATGCAACTCCTATTTGTAGGACTGAATGAATTGTAATCAACTCTGAGTTTCAAGGTATGCTTATGCCATACTTGTAAACAAGAATAAATGCAAGAAACATAAGATCCACAACCTTTATCCAAAAAAATATAAAAGAAACATAAGATCATCTTAAAACTAAGCTCAAATTCAGAATATGCAAAATAAAGTTCGATTTTAGACAAATAAAATTACGGTATGCTATTTGTTACACATCCTTTTCGAGTCTCCTAGATACCTCTATGTACAGATAACAAGTTAAAAAGTCGTAAAATGAAAATGACAGAAGTGTACCGAAAATCGGTTGATGGATTAACACCTTGTCACCCCATCTCTTTCCACTATTCATAGATCAAGCCTGTTAGAACAACATTGGGAAATGCAATGTTCCACAATTTCATGAGAGCTTTCTGTCACACCAAAGGCTCATAGTTAGAAAAGATGGAAAACAATATGGATGTTAAAAGAATGAAGAAAATGTCTGATGGTCGGGATGAGTCTCGTCAAAGGGTACGTGTAGTCGTGCTTGAAGCCTTCGAAGTCTTTGTTACTGATCAGAATTAGTAATATATATATATATATATATATATATATATATATATATATATATATATATATATATATATATATCAATTTTATTATTACTGGAGCTGAGAATGGAATGAAGATGTTTATATGTATATGTAATATATATGTACATACACATGATAGATCAATACAAATCACCCTAACAAATTATCCTAGCACATCACTAGACTGAATACCCAAGAAACGATGGCAAAAACCAGTTCAATTCTTCTCAAGAAAGTCTGATTTTCTATCGTAATCCGTCTTATAACGGAGTTCCTAAATCTTTATCAGTCCTAACTTCACATTGTCAATTACCTGAATAGGATTCAAATTGTAGTCAAGAAACTTCTCAGTGCGCTTGACGAAGCGATTGAAGAGCCCTCCTATCCATGATCGTGGTCCAACCATAGCATTAGCTACAATCAGTCGAGGCTGATCAGAGAGAGATATTAAACAATGAGTTGTAAACTGAATGCTGAAAGCTAAAACCATGCTAATTAGGAATGCTGAAAGAATTTATCAAGAAAATCTACTCACTAAAACATTGAGCTAACTGTGATATGAGGTGAGTGGAATTGTGTGGCCATTCCAACTCTAGACGGTCTTTCTTTCATCTCCAGTGAACTTCATCCTCATCAACCTACATTTCAATTTTAAGCAAACCATTCAATACCAATTAGTTTCACATCAGGTTCAAAATTTGGATGCTAAACTTTGTAACTAAGCTCTTAACTATTCATTATATAATGTAAATGCATTCACTCCGAACAAGAGACATAATCATTCAAAGCAGAAATGGAAGAGTTTTCCATGATTAAGATTAATGACAAAACCATATTAAGCTAATAGATATGTGTAAGTAATGCACTTGTAATTACTCTGTGAAGAGAAGAGCAAGAAGGAAAAAATTGGCGACGCTTCCTTAATCTCATGAGAGAATCATGAACAAAAGGATTAGATTTTTACATTCCTTTTAACCAAAGGAAAAATGGGCACCAAATGATTGCAGTAAACTCATGCGCCTCCATCCAATTCAACCCTTGTCATCATTAGAGATAGGCCAAATGAATATAATAATGACAAACAGAAAGTTTCCTAGAAAAAAATGAAAAAAGATGAATAATTTTTCGTCTCAAGTGCGTAATCAAAGGCCACTTTTTGCTGTAAGACTCTTTTTTTGTACCCCAAAATAACAAAGCTTTGCAATTTATAAAGAAAAAAGTCATAAAAGGTAACGCCCTTTTGTCTCTAGTTCGACAACGACATGAAATGCAAGACAAAAGGGTAAAAAGTAACCTTTTTTGTTACCTCGAAAGTGATTCTCTACTTGTTATTTCATGTATAGTAGCGAAAAAGATGGGTTTGAGGTTCGGCAAAGTGAAACAGCGAAGCAACGAAGCAGATGGGCAAAGCAGCGAAGCAACATATTTGGAGAAAGGAATTTGCGAGATCGAAGAAGCAACCAAAGAAGGACTAAGATCGGCAGAAATTAATTTGTGGGTTTGGGGTAAACGACATAAAGGAAAACCAGAAAGAAAATAAGATGAAAAAGGGCTAGGGTTTTAGGAGATAAAAATACAAACTTTGCGGCGTTTTCAATTTCAAACGCCACTAATATCTTGTCAAGTGCGGCGCTTTAACAAAACGACACTAAACGTTAACCTATTGCGGCGATTTTAGTTACAAACGCCACTAAAGTGCTACTAAGTTGCGGCGTTTGTTGAAAAATGCCATTATAGATGAGCCTATTGCGGCGTTTGTATCGAAACGCCGCTAAAATACTAATTTATAGCGGCATTTTTATAAAAACGCTGTTAAAGTACTACTCACATTGCGGCGTTTGTTGAAAAAATGCCACATAGATGAACCTATTGCGGTGTTTGTATAAAAACGCCGCTAAAGTGATACCCTATATTTTTATAAAAAACGCCGCTAAAATTACCATTTTGTGGCGTTTAGTATGTAAACGCCGCTATATGTTTAAAATTAGTGGCGTTTACTCCTAAAACGCCACTAAAAGCACCGTTGTAGAATAGTTTTGCTGTAGATAATAGATGTATTTTTAGGACGGACCATGGAGACATATGATGATGTTGCGTCGCATGGAAAAAAGAAGAATCGATTGGTAAGATCACATGATAGTGGGGATTCCCACACCTGTACTAACGGACACATTTAAAAAAGTTGTGATAGAAGAATTGTAGAAAAAAATTTCTTGATGGAATAGAGATTTGTTTGAATTGGTTTAGGGAAGAAAATGGTTCTAGTTGCTAAAATAAGGAGAACGAATGAGTTCTTAAGATAAGTAAACATGTATGGTCAAATAGGGCCACATAAGACAACTAATGTGCTAAATCAGCGTTTCGTTATTGCAGTGATGACTGTTAACGGCGAGTGATCGATTTGTTATAAATCGATAACGTTAGTGACTAATTTTTTACTTTTAAAACTTTAGTGAGAAAAACAAACACTTACTTAAATATTAGTGACCATTTATATAAGAGAAAATCGCCTCAGTGACCAAAAAAAAGTTATAATATACGATTTTAACCAACTTTTTTTGGATTTGCCAAAATGACCAACAAAATCGCAACGCGAAATAAAAATCGCAACGCGATCCCCAGAATCGCAAATCAGTTTCCAAAATCGCAACGCGATTCTTGAAAATCGCAATGCGATAGTACAAATTCGCATTGCGATTTTCCAAAATCGCAACGCGAATATGAAAATCGCAACGCGAACACATAAATCGCAACGCGTATCCGTAAATCGCAACGTGTATCCGTATATCGCAACGCGTATCCGTAAATCGCAACGATAATACATAAAATCGCAACGCGTATCCGTAAATCGCAACGCGATATTTAAAGCGCCATTATAATCGCTACGCGTATTTTATTTTCAAATTACAAAAACCAATATTAAGACAAAATCCCGTAATCGCAACTCATAACCTAAAACCTAAAATCACAACTCAGTCCCATCTCCATCTCTCACTCTCTACGGCGAAGAAATCCGTCCCCATCTCCGAAGATTTCCGTCCCCATCTCCGGCGAAATCCCTCACAACCATTCACGGTCAGAAATCCCTCACAATATTCAGAAATGGAAAATCAACCTCCGAGGGTTAGTTTTTTTAATTATTTTTATTTTGAAATGTTTGCATTATTGTAGGTTTTTCATATTGAAACTGATGATAAGTTTACTGGTCATTTCAATAATAGATTAACCATTTCACTTAGATTTCATTTCGCGTTACGATTCTGTCGTTGCGATTTTCATTTCGCGTTGCTATTCTCTCGTTGCGATTTTCAAGTTAGTATTTGTCTTTGTCTTTGTTCTGTCTTTTGGTTGAAGTAATGCAATCCATTCAAGTTTCAATTTGCAGAAGAGTCGCAACGAGATAAATGAAAATCGCAACGAGAGAATGACTGTCGCAACGAGAGAAATGAAAATCGTAACGCGAAATGAAAATCGCAACGAGAGAATCGCAACGCGAAACCAAAATCGCATTGCGATTTTCATTTCGCGTTGCGATTCTCTCGTTGCGATTTCATTTCGCGTTGCGATTCTCTAGTTGCGATTTTCATTTCGCGTTGCGATTCTCTCGTTGCGATTTTCATTTCAACCAAAAGACAAACAGTGTTGCAAATTTTAGTTTCAAGAATAAACTACTACTTTTTATGTTTATTGTTTTTGGTATATCTTCACAGTGTAGTTTTTGGTATATCTAACTTGGTATGTTTATTGTTTTTGTAGAAATTTTTTTCGGCTCAATTGACCTTGAGAAATAAAGTCAGCCTGGCCACTACAATTGCTTCGAAGCTTTCACCTGCTCAAAGACAATTGTTTGAGGAAACCTGCTTCGAGCCATGGCTGAGAGTACAGCATCCGGGTGGAGATGCTAATTTGACCCATTTGTGGCTTCAGACCATGACATCAAATCTACCCGACAGTATACAACGTGGTGAGGAAGAGATATGGTTTCATTTTCCACCAGCGTATACTTGTTTTGGGTGGAAGGAGTTCTGCTTAATCACTGGTCTACGATTCGGACACGATGATGTAGGCCGGTACACTCGTCATATCGCCCGCCCATCATGGTTATCCCGGGTTTTTCCGGATGAGTCAATGGAGAAGCCGAACCTACATGTCGACGACCTGAAGAAATTGTTTAATAAGAAAGCTGGTTTCACTCGGATGGATGACGTCGATGTTGTCCGAGTATGCCTTCTACTACTTGTGTATGCCGGCTTTTTAGGCAGAGAGGCCAGACAACCTATTCATCGGGAGCTAATAATATTGGTAGAGGACCTGAATGCATGGAATCTGTTTCCGTGGGGTTCGTATATGGAAAGCTACCTGGACTAAGTTGTCGTCTGCCTTTGATGACCGCAAAAGTTTGCGGGGCGATGGGTCCAAATACACTTTGTCAGGCTTTGTTTGGGCCTTTAAGGTAAGAATTTCTATATAATGTTTCTAAAATTATAATTAATATTTAACAATTACTAATTTTGTTATTATATTGTTTGTAGATTTGGATATTCGAGGCTTTCCCCAGCATGCGTACATATGCAATAAAAACGTCAAATGATATTCCCAGGGCTATTTCCTGGAAGAGGAAAACTCTGTTGGATTGGGAAGACTTAATACCATATGCGACAATAAATAATGTAAGTTAACACAATACTTTCATATAATATATAAACAAGTTATTAATAGTAGACGTTTAACTTTGTTTGAGTTTTTATATTTTAGGAGGC